CCTCCCCGGAATTGAATTGGAACCATGAAACTACGAAATTGTGATTGAAATACAGATATGAACTTTGTTAAAGCTACTGAGGGGAAAATTTCTTGTAGTTTTTATTTACTTTCGTCCTGTTCTGTTCCAGTTGTTCCAAGTGTTTTATAGATGTTTTTGAAATACATTATCTGTTTATTGTTTCAAATGTATTATAAAAAATGTAACCCTAAATGTAATGGTGTAATGGTAATTCGGTTTAGATATGTTTATCCCGTCTTTCCGAAACATTTTTTCCGTTTATACCTCCCCCCTCCCCCCACCCCCCGATATAAGCCCCGCCTCGTTTATAAGTTCACCCAAACCCCTTATGAAGTTATATAAACCCAGGGCTTTAACGTGGGATTTTACAGTAGTTCTGAACGAGCTAGGTATGTTCAATAGGTAGCATTCGTGAATGGAAGGTATACGAAAGGGGTACCTTTTTTTTCCAAAACGTTATATAAAAGGGTAAAGGGTTGGACCTCGGGGAGGAACCTCCCTGCATAAAACGTTGTTGAGTAGCGCCCCGTGCATAAAGTAAAAACTATGCAGGGGTAAAGGCAAACTGATAATGAAGAATTGTTTTTTAACTTTTCAGTTCCCCTTGGTTCGATTCAAGAACTCCCAGCTGAGACTTGTGACGAAATAAAGAGGAGTGAAGGACACGCTGTTAGCGGGAAATACTGGTTTTCCACTATAAAATCTGGTACATCTGTTCTGGCTTATTGCAATATGCAAACCAACGGTGAGTTTAGTCAGTTATACAATCGGCGACTACCGTTAACCTGATTGTGCCCTCTGATAAGTTAATTTATGATTAATTATTAGACGACTGACGTAAATGTTTCATATTTAGTCACAGATGCGGTGACTGATGAAAAATTAACCGGTAGATTTAAACTGATAAGACACGGAGAAAAAAAGACAAATTTTAAGAGGAAAAAAGACTCATGGAATCACGAAAGAATGGGTACTCCTCGCGTCACATGTTAGGGCCTGAGTAAAATGCCCATCAACAAGTTTTTCATCAATCAATATGTTCGCTGTTCTAGACATTGACGAATGCGGTGCCTCTTCTCCTGTATGTGACATCAATGCAAACTGCTCCAATACTCGTGGATCGTATATCTGTACCTGCAGGACAGGATATACAGGCGATGGAAAAACTTGCCAAGGTAGGATAAATGTCGATTTACTGTGATAACAACGAAGAGGGCAGATTTCTGGGGACTTGTGACGACCAGTAAAAATCGGCAATCCATCGAATCCAGTCCTTTTATATACGGGCAGTGCATGACATCATGCCTCGGGTTATACTTCTGTTATTAGAAACTTCCTGGATAAATGTAAGTGTATAGAAATTCTTTAAAATGGCGCGCAAGAATTAAAACGTTTAAAGTCTGTTATTTAACCAAGAAATGTAATGCCGTCATGTAATGCCCACGAAACCAAGTAGAAAAAGAGAAAAAAATATGAAGCAACAGCAAGCGGGAGATTTAAACTGATGACACGGAGATAAAAAGAGAAATTTTAAGGGGAAAAGAGACTCATGTTACGAAGGAATGAGTACTCCTCGCGTCTCTTGTTAGGGCCTGAGTAAATGCCATTCAACATTTTTTTCATCAATCAATATGTTCGCTGTTCTAGACATTGACGAATGCGGTGCTTCTTCTCCTGTATGTGTCTTAAATGCCAACTGCTCCAATACTCGTGGATCGTATATCTGTACCTGCAGGACAGGATATACAGGCGATGGGAAAACTTGCCAAGGTAATTAAGATAAAGGTCGATTTACTGTGATAACAACGAAGATGGCAGATTCTCAGGGAATTGTGACGACCAGTAAAAATCGGTAATCCATCGAATCCAGTCCGTTTATATACGGGCAGTGCATCACATCATGCCTTGGGTTACACGCCTGTTATTAGAAACGTTTTCGGGTAGCCTGAGAAAACAGCCGAACTTTGGCGACGTTACCACTGGTTTCCCCGCCAAATGACGTCTGAGGAACGAGCGCAGACATTCCATACTGATCTAAACTACGAGCAGTCTCTCTTGTTTCTGTAGTCTGTCGAGCAAAACGCGAGACACGCAAATGGCCACGCGCGTGACTGATGGCGCGAGACGGGAGAGGCACGAAAAAAGAGAATCACAAATCAGCCAATCATATTTTGCGTTGTGAGGCCAACGCTTAATTCATTGGCTCTGGCTAAGCGGGCAGTCTCTCTTTTTTCTTCTCGGGCTGCCGCCCTCGTTTCGCGCGTCTGGCGGCTTCGCCGCTCCCGCGCGCGTGCATTGCTCTCACTAAATCTGAAGAAAAGAGAGACTGCTTGCAGTCTAATACTGATCACGCGTCATTGCCCAGATCTGGGTTCTGATTGGTCGTGCAGCATGGGAAATTTGATTCAACTAATCAGAAGCACTTCCCAGATCTCGGTGGTGATGTGTCATAAGTATGGAATTTCTGCGCTCGTTTCTCAGACGTAATTTGGCGGGGAAACCGGTAGTGGCGTCGCCAAATGTCGATTGTTTTCTCAGGCTACTTTTTGGGCAAATGTAAGTGTATACAAATTCTTTAAAAGGCCGCGTAAGAATAAAAACGTTTGAAGTCCGTTATTTAACCGCAAAAAGTAATGCTGTAGTTACTTAGTAGCCCGCCTAGCCCAGTAGAAAAAAATTATGAAGCAACAGCAACCGGGAGATTTAAACTGATAAGACACGGAGAAAAAAAGAGAATTTTTAGGGGAAAAAAGACTCTTGTCGCGAAGGAATGAGTACTGCTCGCGTCACATGTTAGGGCCTTAGTTAATGCCCTTCAATAATTTCTTCATCAATCAATATGTTTGTTGTTCTAGACATTGACGAATGCGGTGCTTCTTCTCCTGTATGTGACATCAATGCGAACTGCTCCAATACTCGTGGATCGTATATCTGTACCTGCAAGTCAGGATATGCAGGCGACGGAAAAATGTGCCAAGGTAGGATAAAGGTCGATTTACCGTGTGATAACAACGAAGAGAGCAGATTCCCAGGGACTTGTAACGACCAGCAAAAATCGGTAATCCATCTAATGCAGTCCGTTTATATACGTGCAGTGCAGGAGATCATGCCTCGCGTTATACTTCTGTTATTAGAAATTTTTTGGGTAAATGTGTGTATACAAATTCTTTAAAAGGCCGCGCAATAAGAATTAAAACGTTTGAAGTCTGTTATTTAACCGGGAAAAGTAATGCTGTAGTTACTCAGTAGCCCACCTAGACCAGTGGAAAAAGAAAAACAAAATTATCAACAGCACCTGGTAACCCAAGGTTTTTGGAACAGCCTATATAGATAAACTCTGCTTTAGAAGAATTATGAGAGATGTACCAGGCGTGGACAACTCGATGGCCGCTGAAGAAGAAGAAAACTCTAAAACGTTTTTGTTCCCTGTTGAGGAAATTCAGACTGCTTTCAACGGGGATCGAACAAGGTTGAATGTTTTCATTATTTTTAACTTTATTATTATTATTTGATTTTATTTTGTTAGCAAGGAGCCTACGATAGATCCTTGTGGAACTCCAATATTTTTGTTTTTCTAGACATTGACGAGTGCAGTGCTTCTCCTCCTGTATGTGACAGCAATGCCAACTGCTCCAATACTCGTGGATCGTATATCTGCACCTGCAAGGCAGGATACAACGGCGATGGAAAAATTTGCGGAGGTAGGAGAAAATAATTAGCTAATCTAAAGGTCAGTTACTTTACTATTATAACATCGACTATGGAAGTTTCCTAAGGACGTGCGACATCATAGCATTCAAAATTGTGGCTAATATAATGAGATCGGCAGTCCGCTAAATCCGCCGGTAAGTTTTCGTATCCAGCATTGTATGACGTCACACCTCATGTTATGCCTCTGCTGGAGCCTATAACACAGAGCGAGCAACTTCCTTGTACTCTTATCAAGGCGTTTTCACCAACGATTTCGGCGTGAATTTCGACTATCTTTTAGGTCCCCCAAACCAGTCAGCAAAAGGAAAATGCCTGAAACTGGCATTTTTGACTTTTAAATAACTCTGTATCATGAGCCGCCACTTAAGATCATGCGCTACCTCACTTCCGTCCAAAGTGCAAAGGCGTAAATTTAAATCATCTAGCTCATAATAAGGATTAGATTTGAATAAGGATGTAGGACGTCACATTCAAACTTATTTATGCATACGGCACACACTATTCTATAATTTAATTTATGTTTACATTTTCTTGCACAAATAACGTACTTATTTTTTTTTTAATATATATTACTTCTTTTAAGAAGTAATTACTCAATTGTTGAGTGAGACTGAGTAGGATGAAGAATTTTGCAGATGGAGGAAGATATGTTGCGGTGAATAACATCCTCGGAGATCTGCATAATTCTTCACATTATACGAAAGCCTAATTCATTCATTGTCTTATTTTTCATTCAAAATATTTCTTTATTCTTATTTAACAACTTTTCCTCATCGAAGACTTTATTCAAACCTTTCGCCTATTTCCCGGCACAGTTTTTCCTTGCAGTGCTCCCCATCGAGCGATTTGTTTTGCGTATTCTTGCAATTCTTTCGTTCAGTTTTAGTTTAAAATTCAACTATTCCGGATGGTCGTGAACGCCTTTTTTTCAGAATTTACTGGTGAATAATTAGCTAGTTGGAAACGACGTTGATCGATGCCATATTAAGAACATGCGAGCAATTTACCATCGATTTGATGGCATATTGCTCCATCCTCCAAATATCATAAACGCCAGTTGATTAGGGGCTTTGAGCCAATCAGAAGCGTCAAAGTATTTTGAATGAATAATTGTAATTAACGTAATATTCTATTTACGCTATTTCATTTTATCAGCTGTTCATCTATGTTTATCGAACATTTTGATATATCTATATAGATACTTCAGGGTTATAAGTGTTTAAATTATTTTAAATTATTTTAGTGACATCAGTTTCGAAAAAATATGTTACTTGAATCACCTTTTCTTTTCTCTTCCCGTATATCAGTTTTCGCAGAGGGACTGAATGACTCCGTTATCTTAAGAGATAATGTGCATCACTTAGCTAATTTAAGCGCATGGCTCAAACCAGTCGCCCAAAGCGAATCTTCAAAATGGAAGCGCTGTTGGCGTGCGTCCGTGGATGGCTGGGCTGTCACTACTTTTCACAGCGGATGTGACAACAAAGGACCAACTGTAACAATAATAAGAGTCGGAGGGACGTACATATTTGGAGGCTACACTAACCTCTCATGGGGTAAGCTCTAATAGACCTTGTCACGGTTTTCGACGCCATATTCACGTGGGCAAACGTGTGAGAAATTACAGTGTTTATATGAGAATCTGATGTCGAAATATTTCCGTAATTCGGCTGTTCTGAAAAAAAAAATCAATTGTAAACTAAAGCTACAAAGCAAAGGATTGCACTAAAAAAATTGGGGGGCGTACCTGTCCTTAAATTTCTCCAGAGGATTGCTTTAGGTTTTCCTACAGACAAGTGTATGGAAAATTTAAAAAAAGTGGTTCTAGGTATTCTAACGCATGCAACGCCCTCACTTTTTTTTTTCAGTAGCATCCTTAGGAGTGAAGCTTTAGCTTAAAATTGATATTTTTTTCATAACAGCAAACACTGTAATTTCTCACTCGTTTACCTACTCGTCAAGATGGCGTCGAAAACCGTGGCAAGGTCTATTTTTAATGGTCTAAACACCAAACAAAGCCGGCCACCTTTTAGTATCACACCGTGGTTGCGCATAATAAGCTAGAGGGATTGTTGGCGTGCGGAATCCAATCAGCCCCTCTCCAACAATACTCTTTACTTACGTTCTCCATTTTAACACAACAATGTTTGGGAATTCGGGTTTGTATGTTTAACACCAATTCTGTAGGGTTACTTCATTAGGGAATCGTATTCGTATTCGTAATCGGAACGTTGTTTCATGCAAGAAAGTCAAACAATGATACTATTAAGAAAATTAACAGCTTTTTAAATAACAGCATGAAATAATACAAGTGTAATGGAAAAATGATGGATATGGGTGTTGCAATGGGTTAGGGCTGAATCCTCACGAAGACGACTTTCTTTCCCATTTTCCATGAATAAAGCGCAGTTAAGGCGAAGTAGTAGTATACGAGGTAAAGAAAGTTCTGTTGCACAAGGATGACAACTTGACACTGGCTTATCTAGCAGAACGATGGATGATTACAAATTTTCGCCGGCAATAAAATTCTGTACTGATATTTGTTACTCTAAAAAGTGGTTTTCAGGCAAAGCATTCGGCACTATTGTCTCAAGTGCCGTTGTATTTAAAAAAGAATAACAAAAATGACTAGAACGCAAGTGGGAGTTGATTAAGGCTTAAGTTCCTAAGGCTCGCTTTCCTGCTCTTCAACTAAACGAAAACTGTATATAAAAATTGCGAGTTAGATGGGGAAAAATGCCGCTTCTAATCAAGTCTTTTTTGTTATAGCTCAGTTCAAGTCTTTTTTGTTATAGTTCACATTAAAAATAAAATAAAATAAAATAATTGCCAACGAGCAGCCCCGCGAAGAACCGAGGCTGCGAGGCGGCAGCCTAATAGAACCGTGCGCGATTGTTCCAAGGGCAGAAAAAATCTTGAATCGATGCAACACAGAGTAATGTAAGGCAGCCGTAACGTAATGCGGAACAGAGAATGCATTGCTTTCGAGCGAACATTGATACAGATCAGAGAATCCACGAGCCGTTTGTGTGTCTTTGTGAGTCCCGCGCTCATCCCGTCTTCAACCAATCGTCATGTGGATCATTTCCATCCTACACCATATCTGTCGCGTTTGCCTGTTGTAATTTTTTAATTGCATGCCGCTAATAACGCAGCGAAATGTTTTGTATCTTTGAAGCAAAACAATTAGGAAGGCTTCTTTGGCGCACCATAAATTTTTTTAGCTTTAAAAAGAGACCAAGTACAAGTCTGTACGTTGAATATTCGCAAACTTTAACATCATTTTTCGAGGATTTTAAGTTTGCTTATAAGTCCACTAAATTTTACGCAAAATGACCTGTGCGCAACTTCGGACAAAAACACGAACTCCAATATCTCGAGAAATTTGCTGCGTAAAGTCGGGATCTCAAATTCTTAATGCAGTAGAACAGTTAAGTTCACCATTTTCAAAACACAAATTAAAGCAAGGGGCACACATACACCAAACCCATGATCCTCGTTCCCCGCGCATATCGTGGGAGAACTGCCGTGCGATTCCCAGTCAACAGCTCCCACATGTGTTGTGTGGAGCTGGCTCTTAAAGAACTCGCCTCGGCAAGAAAGGGTCACTGATCAACGGCTATGTCTTGCTGATCTGTAAATAAATTATTTAAAAGAAAAAAAAAGTAAGGGCGAAACAGCTGCTCATGGCTGCCACTGCCCGCGTGATAATGGCTGTGCGCATGCGTGAGGTAATGGTGTATGTGTGCCCCTTGCTTACTTTAATGGTAACTCGTGCTCCACCTTCCCCGCGCATGTCCTGGTAGAATGCTGTGCGGTTCTCATCCAACAGCTCCCACATGTGTTGTGTAGACCTAGCGCTTAATAGACTGCTTTGCACTCTCCTTCGCAGTAAGGGATTTATTTTTCTTGCTATCAGTACCGTCCCGGCCGCGAGTTGGTGTATGTGTGCCCCTTGCTTTAGGTTTGCACTATTTTCAATGCTTCATTGCTCTTATTTCTTTGCTCGTTGGCACTAAGCGATAGCTTTTACTAGTAATAATAATAAAATAAACTGAGAGAGTATTTTGATCAAAGCTATGTATACTGAGATCACACTGAATAACAGCATGGAATCTTACGTTTCCTGTTTTTATCTAGTAAGTCTAGTAGTCTTTATTTCCACACAAGATAAAAAATACATATGTTATGTTACAATATTTGAGTAAAAAGTATATATATCTAAGTTATTTACAAAAAAAAAAAACGCTCACATAGCTAAATTGTATTTAAAAATTAAGCGATTAATGTAAGAGTTCTTGAATGTATCTGTATTAACTTTCGGATACTGACTTGTTCGATTCCTTAAATTGTAAGTCGATACTTTCTTCTTGGGTAATAGTCCCCTTAGAGGGTGTCGGTCTATGCCAGATACCTTACGAAATACTTTCCTATCCTGCTTTTCTAGAAGGTGCTTCATAGAAAATGATTTAGATGTATATTTACGTTTGTAACATCTATCTAGAAAACACTGCATGCTGTCAGCTCCGCAAACAACGCAAACTCAACTTTACTTTAGCAAAATGTTTTTGTTTGTTTATTTGTTTGTTTTGTTTTTAACTATTTTATGTTTTAAATATGTGCTGTAGTCAATTACATACTTCAAGGTGATTAATGTAAATTCATTTTAAATCTTGTACATTTTGCATCTTTTTTAGAATCTTATCGTATCTTTTTAGAGTTTTTTTTTTCGTAGTTGTTTTATTGTAAGTCATTTTATCCTGTTTTATAAGAAACAGAATCTCAGTTGCTATTCTGAAAACATCTCTCCTATCGTTAAGGGGATCGCGTTCAAGGAGGAGAGTAAATCTCAACCTAAAAGAGGTGGACTTTGACATCGAAAGAGGACTTTTAGGACGCTGGATTTTTATTTAGAGAATAGATATTGAATATTGCATATTCAATTATTACTACTATTTAATATTCTTATCGATGTTGGTTCATGTTGAAATCGTGGCAGTTTTTTTACTTTTTTTTTTTTTGAAGTCATTTTATCCTTAGTACTACATCGTAATCACTTTTACACGTAATAGTTTTTTTTTTTTTAAGAAATAAGCTTTAAATATTATGTGTTTACACTGCGAAAATGATGATGATGATGTTGATGAAGATAATAATAATAATGGCCTGAGGAGCCCAAAAAATCTTCAGTATGAATCGGTGTATTTCAAAAAGCTGCACAAAGACCGAGCAGAACGGGGGCTGCTCTAGTGTCAACTATTACAAGTGTGTACCTCTTTTTCACTCATTAAGTTTCCCTTGCACAATTATTTCGTGTACTCTGTCGCCAAAAAGCAAAACCGTACCAAGACGGCATCGCAGGGGGTAGTTAGCAAATTAATTTGGAAGTACAGTGCTGGAACGGTTACCTCGGCATAACGAAGGACCAAGAAACCGGCAGAATTTGTTCGCTATTCAACGAGGTTTCGTTTTATCGAGTTTCTTTTCCGTGGGGTAAAGAAAATCGTTAGTTACATTAAGGAATTCGTCATATAGAGGTTCGTTATTTCGAGGTTTCGCTCGTCTGTAGTAAACAACAATTGAACAATTCAAGCCTTTATATCGGGATGTAATTTATCGCTCTGTTCAATCTTTTGTAGCGTTTAGCTTTTAAAATAAGTACCAGTTTCTTCCTTCCAAAAGTAAATACTTTTAAATATTTAAAAGTAAGAATAAGTTTATTCTTACTTAAGTTTGTTCTTACTTAAAAGTAAGAATAAACTTAGTATTAAAAACACACTTTTCACAAGTTGATATCTTTGCTAAGAGAGTTAAACTATTACGAGTACTATCAGTATATTTTCTGGTCTGTATGAATTCCAATTTTTGAACAAAGTCTTTGCATTGTTAATCCTTTTCATTTGTTATTTTCCCAACAGGTTACAGCAGTTGCAGCGGGTATAGATATGATCCCCAGGCATTTCTTTTCTCGCTGGTTAACAAGCCAGGATGGGCGCCTGTGAAACTACCTCAGACAGGGCAGCATAGTTCTTACAGAAGATCCATATACGACTGCTCGCATTATGGACCTACTTTCGGAGGAGGCCATGACATTTACATTGCCAACCATGCGTCATCCAGTAGCAATTCCTATGCCAGCCTTGGCTGGACTTACAGCCCACCAAGCGGGTATAAGCACTCAAGCACCTTCGCCCGGACATTTCTAGCAGGAGGAAGTAATAATCTTTTTACTCCAGATGAAGTAGAAACATTTTACGAAACAACCTAGAAACTGTGGCATCGTATTCAACTTCAAACTTGACAGTCAATTAAGATATTACACTGTATTAAGCCGGGGTAATACATTTTTTTTAACCAGGCAATACAAAAGGAAATACATTTTAATTTGTAAATTTAATATTGAGGCCTGGACAGTAAGTTACGGTACAAAACTTGTACCACCCTATTAAAATGATGTTTAATAAACCAAATGTTCTTATTTCTTTCTTTCAAACATTTCTCCTCGCCTGATTTGCAAAATATACACCTGTTATGTTTTTTTTCATATCAAGTTGTCTAGTCTAATTTGTAATATTAGTCTAGTGCTTTATGGCTGAAACTGATGCACATCTGTAACTCGAATGATTTTTTAAGAAAGGCTTATAAGCAATTCATTTCGGCATGCAAATCCTAATTAAAGAACTATAGTTTTTCTGGATAGAATGAAGTACCAGGAAGTTCAGATCTCAAATAAAACTTGCATATTAATCCAAAGAAGAAACGAAATAGTTGGAAAGCGAAATATTTGTGGACGTAATTGTCAAAGTTTAGCAGAAGATATTCGCTTTGAGTTTTACGTTAATGCATATCCTAATTAATTACTCTTTCGAATGATTGATTAATGGTAATATAGAATTTTTTTGGTTTCTAGGAAACCGGGTCCAATTTTTTTTCTTTTAATCGGATCTGAATAAGAACTCGGACTAGAAGAAAAAGCAGAAATAATAACTAAAAAATAATAATAGTCTTTATTAATTCATAAGAAAAAAAAAACACATATCTTCTATCCAATTTTGAACTAAGTTACATTGGAATGAGTTATAGAGCTAAATTATATTTAAATGATGTTATTAACTCATTTAGAAAATATAAAAATAATTAAAAAGCTAGCTCGTATTTAAGATTACGCGATTAAAATACGAGTTCGTCATTCGTTTCGTGTCTAATTTCGGCCGGTAACTAGATTTGTGTCTCAGATTGTATTATATGACATGCAGTTTACAGCTGAGTTTAGGCATAAGGATTTTCAGAGCGATAATCATTTCAAAAGGAGATTCTTTTTGCTTGATCTGAAATAATGGCTTGAATTATAGATACAATAAGCTTTACAAGACTGATCAACGGTTATAATGATCATTGACATTTCTCTATGTAACCTAAGGTACATTACATTTTTGTCTTCCTTTTGTCTGTGAATAACGTAATTAAACAATTCTTTGGAGTTTTATTTAAAACGACTTTTAAAAACATTAACATGAAATAAATTTCTCCATTGGCAAATGAAAAGTGTGGATGTGTAGAAATTTGTGACGATATTATTACCGTAACTTCGTACGCCCGCCCATGTACGGTACACGTTTTATCGAATGGCTTCTTACACCGAACCATACTGCCCGCTGACGTCATACTTTTTTTCTCAGACGTCATTTGGCAGGGAAACCAGTCGTAGCGTCGCCAAATGTCGGCTGTTTTCTCATGCTATGGCCCCTCCCCCACAGTGACCCCTGTACTATCTGGACGATTGGAAACAGTTTCATCTAAGTAACTAGGTGACGGTGAAAACCTCTGTTTTAAAGCGAGGCTAAGTGCAATGCCATCTTCTCATGTCACTAGAATGACCAGGCTTGACCTAAGTAAGCCAAAAAAATTAGAACTACGCCTTAGCCCTTTATTAAATCAGTGGACAGGGGCGAGCCAACCGCGTTTGCAATTTTACAGCCCGACTGTGGAGAAGACATGAAACGCAACAGTGCAATTCAGTACCTCTCGTAGTTTGTCGCATGGAACTGTTAAAGGGCGATATATTTTTTTTTTCAGTGACTGGAGCGTTGTCTGGGTGGTTCTGATATCATTGCTAAGTTACTGAAGTTCCCGCAATTTAAGGCCGTGCCCTATAGTTAGTTCCCGGGGGGACTCCGCATATTAAAGGAGTGGGGATACTCGTCTGAAATTTTGAATTAAACCCCTAAAGGAGACCGATCTGGGTGTGGCCCAAGATTTTTTTTGACCCCTAAAAGAGACCATGTTAAAACACAGACAATATATATATTTTTATATTTTTTGGCGTGCAACCCTAAACGAGACCTTCACGGCTAAATATGATGGCGTTTTGCCCAGAACACCCTGAGTGAGACTAAAATCCGAAATTTACACCCCTAAGCGAGACGACGACCAAGACAAGACAAGACAAGATTATTTGGAGATTATTTGGAGTCTTATAAATTCCTATGTACATCGACTTTATCCAAATAATTTAAAATCATGAAACAAATTGCACACTAGTGGAACTATAATCAATGTTAACCTAAAGAACTAATGAGCTTCTTTTCTCATAGCAGCCGAATGCGTATTTTGCAGTTAACTTTTGCACTGGTTCGTTCTTGCTCGGAGGGTTTATTAACAACAGAAAAACATCATCTGGTGCCATTCTGTTTTCTGATATTCCCCACCACTTTCATACGTGGGGTCCCCCCCCCACCCCCCAGGAGTTAGTTCTTCGTTTGTCCACTTGTCGAACTCTAAGAGCACAAGGCTTAAAGCCCAATAAAGGGAAGGGAAAGGTTTAGGAGCTTCTGTTTTGTAGTTTACGTTCAAGTGTGGCTTGGCCAGGCATCAAATTGCGGCAGTATGAAGGGTCCTGCAGAAGTACACACTGCAATGGTTCCGTTTTATCTTTGGTTTAAATTTTATTTTCCTTTATTTGAAACTCATTATCGTAGATTACCACACCCAGAAATACAGGAAAATACAATTTGGACCAAGTTAAAGTCGATCCACAACAGATCCACCGACTAGGATAACAGTGGAATCATAAAAAGGCGTCCCTTCAAGAAAAATGAATTAACAGCTTGATGAAGATCACGTTTCTAATGCATTTTTTAGCAGGAACTAGAAGAGTATGGAGTGGAATGCTGAGTATCACTGGTAAATGCTTTGTCTGAGAATTTTGTTGTATATCCTTTATTTTTCCTTTTTCATTGTACTTACAAACTCGATGCTTAAAAGAAGCTTTGTTCTGATAAGGCAAAAGAATCACAATGATATGTTAATGAGCCAGCTTGCTTAAAGTGATATAAGCATATGCATATAGTTATCCAACGACCTCCTCTGTCTCTTAACTACCGGTTAAACTGGCTTTCATTTTGCCGCATGAAGTTTTCTTTTCGTTAAATATCCACCTTGATATATGTAATGTTGATGCTAAAACTTGAAGGTGCTACTTAGTTGGTCCACTTGTTTAACGTTTCAGACGGTAAGAAACATAAAAGCTTTTTCCGCAAATGAAATCTGAAAACTTAAAAATTCAATATCAAAAGGCAAGAAACATTTTACGAAACTTGTTGAAGTACTATGAAAGGTCTGAAAGGCTTTTGAGTAACGGTTACAATACAAGTTAATTTGAGTTTATGTGGGCATGCATAACGTTAGCTTCCACAACACTTCCATGAGGCAACCATGCTCCATTCGCTTTGGCCAGCGGTCATCATGTAGATACCATAGGCTGAAACTAAAAATTCAACAAGCAAAAAACATACTTAACAACACATAGACAATGGCCCACGTTCGATGTATTAATATTCTAACATGACTCCGAGGCTTTAGGGTCAAAATTGCAAATTTTACACTGCTCCATTGTCTCGCAATTCCCAGAAGAGACTTGAGCCTGGTGGACTCAATCAAGATTTCTCTTTCACGTGACTTGCACCCGCGCACACTCGCTTGTAGCTGCTTGTTTTTACGCGCGCATTTGCAAATTTTCATTTTTTCGCCATAGCAAACTCACATACTTTCTCTGATGAAAGCAGCATTGCCGAAACGTCGGAGTTTTATTTGCAATTATCAGCGTTTAACTTACCACCTTCCCACTTTTAGCACACACAAACGCTACGCAGGAAACCCCTCAATTTGGACCAAAGAAAATAAAACCAGATATAGAAAAATGACCAGAAAGCCTCGGGGTCATGTTAGAATTTTAATACAGTATATCGAACGTGGGCATATTGACTGTAGCGGTACTCACGCTGACGTCACTCACTGATATTAATGTGCCAACCCGAAGCGCATTGGTTCTTGAAACAAAATTTGTTTCACCCGTTACACATTTGAATAACAAAAACAATGTTTGTAAACAGTGAGCCTTCGTGTTGCTATTCTCTTAATCGTCAAAGGATTATGCTATGTTCCGTTGATTCGGTACCTCTATGCAGAGCATGCCTCAAAATGTAGTAAACCTATGAAAACGTTCTAACCTCCCCACTTTCTTCCGCTGAAAGTAGCTGCTGACCAGAGCGTCTCCGGACTGACAGACACCATATTTTCAGGGATCCCTGAGCTCAGTTTGAGGAAAGTTTCGTGAAACTCCATCATCGGTGCTGCGAAGGAAGTTCATTGCACGGTCCACTCCAAAGAGCCAGCCGCAGTCTTTGGTCCAAAGCTATGACACTGATAATGTGCTCTGAAATATCTGAAAAAATAGGTACGTATTCGGAGGATACGTTATGCTGATAATTTTAATAGCATTTAAAAATTTTAATAACAACTTCCAGAAAGCTAATGTGGAGCTAGTGCTTCAGAAAAGCCCTTTTGCACTAGCTTATTTGGTAAAGGGAAATTTGTGCTGTTTCCTTTCAACGTTTGAACCAAAGAAGGGCAAAACAACAGTCCATTGCCGCCACTACCTTCAACAGCATGGTTGATATGGCTATGCGCATGCGTTTCCATGACTATATACAGTTTAGTTAATGGAGCATTGTTTTCAGATTCTTTCTGAGAAGTTCCTAATTTTGATTAAAAAAAAATCTGACATCTCCCAGCCTTTCTCATCCATTCACAAGAAAAAGGTAAAAAAGGAATATACATAAAGGTAGCACAAACGTACGTTACACTGTCAAGAAGAAAACGAAATATCGTTTTTTCGTCTCGCGTAATGCAAAAGAAATAGAAGACACCTGCACGCAGGATGCATTTGTTGTACTGTACACGATCCGCTCTACCTTGATTTTTGTTTTC